TTTGCATATACAAAATCATCATTGAGTACTTGGAAGATGAGGCTCAAGGCCTGTGGTGACATGTCAGCTGTTGTCAAGTGGTCCGTGTCTTGCTTTTGTTAGGCTTGACACCAGATTTGAAGCATTGGGGTTGGTGGCATTGAAAGATGTTCAAAGGCTTTGTTGGATATGCTCTGCCATTTGTTGTTTACATTGATTTATTTTACATTTCTCAAACTTCAAAGTGCCTTTGGTCTTTACATATGCTATTGAACATGTACACTAATTCTGGTTGTCTTCCCTGAGGCTGAAGTTGCAACTGTTGTCAGTATGGGTTATGTCATTTTACCATGTATCTTCTCAAGCGGACACCCAAAAAGTACTGCCCCTATACTATACTATATGTAAGGTTCTTGGTAACAACCTTCACCAAACTCTCCGGGATCTCTCACAATGGTTCTCAAACCACTGGGACGTAATCTAGAACTCTTGTGTGTGTTACAAATCTGTCTAGCTAGCTCCAGTCGGGGTTTGTCAAGAGAACAAAGAAACAATCAGAACAACATAAGTGAAATGTGTTGCGATCAACTGGAGCGCACAATAAAGAAATGGAAAGGGTGAGATGAATTTCATGAACACAAACAAAACAATCCTAAGAGAAGAGAATCACGTACCTGGAGCGCACAATAAAGAAATGGAAAGGGTGAGGAAAGAAACCCTTTCCTAGTGCAGCTCCAGAACGTATATATACAATGATGTTACGTAACAATTTAGTAATTGTTATGTAAGATAAATAAAAGATCACAAGCCTCATGACAGATAGAAAGACATTTACAGCTGCTTTTCAATTTGAAAGACATTCAGTATTAACTCTTTTACAACTTTTTCATCAATGTTGCAAGCTTGCAGCTATCAGCTCTCATTTTCCCAATCCCATAATATATACTACACCAATCAGTTTCCATCAGAACAGTACAACCATTTAGCAGCAGGAACCAACACACAAACCAAACCGCAGGGAAATACGGCCAGCGGTGCGGTGTGGTACGGTCTGGGGACCGTAGGCTGCAGTCCGATAGGCTACCGTCCAACCTCACCGTAGTGTGGTAAAGCGGGAGGAATATGGGGGGGGTTCCGCACCGCTGCTCAGCATTTTCTATGTATAATCACCGTAGTACGGAGTGGCCTACGGTCACTACAGTTTTTTTTGTACTGTTCTCACATTCCCAATTCAGCACTCTGCAATTGCTCATTTCATCGTTTTCAGCCTTTAAGTCCCAATCAAGATTACCTAGTTTGGCTCTGCAACACGTCCAAAATCAACCATCACTTGTTTACTTTCAAGTGTGAATTGGACAAACACTTCAATGACCAGCACCACTACTACCACACTATTACTTCCACCTAACAATTCTAAAATCTAACCAATTGTTCAACCTGGCTTAGAACCAAACACATGGGACCAGTTTCCAAATGGAAGGTTTGGAGATTCAAGATCACCAGCCTATGGAAAGATAGATCAATATTATGGGGGGATTGGAAAGTTATCATGTGATTCTCTAGTGGTTTAAAGAAATGGGGATCACCCAAGAGTGAAGCAGAGATCACAGATTTGTTTGTAAGATATACTAAACAAGAGATTGATTCTACGCCTTGGTCGGATACACCATTATTAGAAGAAAGTGATTTGATCTCAGATACAATCTTAAAGATGAATTCAAAAGGATATTGGATGATTTCTCCACAACCTGCTTGTGATGAGATAATCAATTTGTTGGGTTTGGACCAATAGGTGGTTATATTTATCAAAAATTGTTTGTTGAGTTTTTTAATTCAGACTCAATTAGTGATCTTAATCATGGCTATTGATATGGAAAACTCAAAAGGTGAAGTGGGTATGTTAAAGTATTATGCTGGGAAAAGGAATTCGGATGAAATTAAAAGTAATCTGAACATTGGGGAAATCTCACATCTATGTTTTTCTCCTTCAACTTATTTTATCATCACAAATATTTTAATTTGATTTGTCCTTTCTTTACCTACAATCAATTTAATCAACCTGTGATTTTGTTAATTTTTTATTGCAGCTGACCATAGAATACGGTGACTACGGTGTGGTCCACTATGGGTTGACCTCACCGTAGTGACAGGGTTGACCTAGTAATACCTATGACTACACTGCGGTGATGGTGAGGTTTCAAAGTTAAACCGTACCGCACCGCCGCCAAGACCGTTTTCCACTGCGCTACGGTACAGTTTGAGTGTTGCAGGAACTGCACTGATCACTTGGCACCTACACTTTAAGATCCCTGCTATCATCAAATGGCCACACTTGTTGGACACCATCACCCCCCAAATGATGTAACTCACAATTATCCTCAAGCCTACATAAATCAAGGCCCAGTATGATTTCAAGTCAGATGTTCTGTAACTCTTATGACCAATTGCTAGTCATCGTAAGGCTATCTGACAACCAATTACCCTTTTGGTAAAGAACAATCATGTTTCAAGAAAGAACATGGTAGGTTGTCAGACTAAGAATCAATGAGATCACCTGCTATGTGAAGTAAATTCATCAGTATTTGCACATAGAAAGAAGAATATCACAAAGCTCTTTTTCATGGGGAGAACATCAATTCAATTTTAATGATAGGTCTATCAAATGACACTTCATAAGATCTGCCTCCACTTCCATCAAGCCTTCATGTTAACCACAACATTCTTCACATCAACAATTCCTTCAAAGACTTTGTGAATGTCTTCTGGCTTCATGTATCACATGCAATACATTTGCCAGCTTATAGCTCATTAGGACAGAGTTTATGAGTCCAGAAATTCAAAGAGAACTCATGAGCAAAAAACATCTGTCAATATTTTGAAATCACAGATTCAGATTCACGATCTACTAATGAAAGATATTGAAAGAGAGGTGCAGGCAATTCTTTCTAATTTTGATTGAATTGTGTCTTAATTAGTTCAAATGAATTTGAGAACATTTGATTAAGAGAAAAAGGAGAAGACAACAAAATCATTTGGATCTGCAATATCAGCTAGAATAATATCAGGGCTTTGATAAAAGCTTGATGAACAATACAAGCAGGTAAAAGGTAAAGTTGCCCATTGAAAAGCAGGTGAAGTTACTCCAATAGCCCTCAGCTTAATCCAACCTTCAGCCCTGATCTTTTCTGATGCACATGCATACCACCTATGACCAGTTTCAAGGCGCCATCTTATTGTACCTAGATTAGCTTTTCAAACTTCAGGGGCTGTACAAGCAGCAGAATATTGAAGAAAGCCACAAAGAGATCTATGTTTTGAAATTGGGTAGTTTGGTGATTAGGCAAAATTGTAATTTTAAATAGTTTTGACTTGTTTGAAAAGAACATCCTAGTTTTAATAGAACCTAACAAATAACGTTTATTGACAATCATTAAAGTAGGATGGTGGTCTTTTGTTGTGGTAGTAGAAGATCTGATTTTAGAGAGAGGACATTCTGATAAAGAAATTCGTTGAAGCCATCTTGAACTCAAATAACTTTATGCAATTGGGGTAAGTAAATCAGATGGGAAGATTATGTGAGAGATGTATGGAGTTGAATTGTTCAAAGAGCTTCTTCTAGCATAGAATCGAGTTTCTAAAAATTCAGATCTTGCGTGTAAATTGGGTATCAAACTCAAAACTGTTCATCAATCAATTGGTTTTTGTTGTTTTTCATGATTGATTGGCTTTTAATTTTGATTGACTTGATGCTTGATTCAGGTTGATTCAGGTACACAGTTTGCTGATTCAATTGCTTGTCATGCTGTTTTATTATCATGATGAGAAGTAGTCAATTTGTTATTGCTTGTTCTCATTGATGAATGGTTTTGGTTTTGATATGGATAGTGATTTGATGGATGAGGTTTCATGATGTTGAAGCTTTTGATCGATTGTCTGGATTTATTTTGATCACTTTGAATTATCTATTTTATTGAGAACAACTTCAGTTACTGTGGCTCAGTGGTAATAAAATCACAATGATTGGCTTACAGTCCTTGAATCAGCCTGTATCTTTGTCCATCATCTCTCGGTCACTTCAAATTCCGCACGTTCGGAGTTGAGATATATGCTGAGTGCAATGGAGGTTTAATATGCTGAAGACCTTGTACATTGTGCTGCAAAAATGGTTAAACAGAACACTCTGTCAGTTTAATGAGTCGCAAAGCAACAACATAGTCAATTGATCATTGAAACTAAGATCGATCAATCATTGAGATTGCAATTGAACATCAAAATGGTCACACTTACATATGTAGAAGAATAGATACCTGAAAGGGATCCCAAAACCTCTCTCTAGACACTTGCTGACGTCGCTCTGTAGCGAGTCAAACTGATCAAACAGATGTGGGCAGCTCGACAGGTTGATTGCGACATGATCGTTCTGATTGATTCATTGACCTTTGATCATCTTTCATGGGCGGATTTTATATTGGATCGTTTTGTACGGTTTGGAAGCTGCATACAGAATCCTTCGCATCCGGAACAAATTCAAAGACTAAAAGATGGTTTTCAAAATCGAATTGATAAGTTTCTTGAAGTTAATCAAATCAGAACCCAAAACTCGACAAAATTGATATCATCATCTCTTTTGAAATGTTTACCTGACTTAGGATTGTGATAAGAAAGATTAATTGAATTGAGAATTTTATGTTTGTATTGAATGGTAGGTAGTCGGGTCTGATAGAAAGAGTTTGATTTGATGCATCTGATAGTTGGAGTGATGATCGATAATGCAGGTGCTATTCTACCGCCACATAGAACCGAAAAATAAAAATTCAAGATTCAAATTTGACTTGATCTTTAAAAACCAATCACAAGAAAAGGCGCAGGAATTTTCTCTGCACTTGCCATCTAATATGAAAACAGGTCCTCCTTCTTTGCAATAAGGAGCATCCAACCAAAAGTGTTGAGAGAAAGCGGTGTGGTTTAGATTGGGTTTTGAATGAGAATCAGTGGGAAGAAGATATGGGCTGTGTCAATTGTAAGTTGGATGATAGATGAAATGCATGATTGTTGAATGATAGTAACTGATGGAAGCTGATAATAATTGATTTGAACAGACAGACAGATGAGAGCAGGTCTGAATTGCTTGGGGGAAAAATAAATGAAAATTAGCTAAAAGATACCACTCTGAAGAATCAAAAAGTGAGGAATCAAAATATACCAGTTGATTTGAATGATCATAATCAAATGAAACCTTTGAAGCTACTCTGATTCATGATCGAATCTGAAGTCAAAGTGTAATCACAGCCCCCAGCTACTAGGCTCTGGCAGGCCAGAGATTACCTTGGCTTCATGAAAGATTCATGAAAGATTCAGAAAGATTTCAAACTGACTTCAACATAATCACATGGGGCCATTTGCCTGTCCGACCACCAAAATTCCGTTGTCATCATATGACGTCATAAATCTGTACACACCTGCTCCTGTATTCACAGATCAAGAATATATAGTTTATCAAACTTTATCATGTAAATTGACTGAGTTATTGAGGTTTGAAAAAAAAATCACGGATAAAAAATACTATTTTTGTACTATACATAAGACTGGGATGTTGGATATCTTAAATCTCTATCAATATACATATAAAATAAATTTCATATTCCACTGTACAATACATGTTTCTACATTTTTTATTTTTGCAGCCTTTGTCCAAAAGGCATATTTCTATATGTAATTGTGAATTCTACATGAGCAGTCCAATCTTTCCCTGATTTGTTGATTCTAGGAAGGATATGGATAAATTGATGGCAGAAACTTTTGAAATTATTATTTACATGCATACCAGTCTATTTGTGCCTAATTTGGGCCCTGCAATTCATCACAATTTGCCTCAAGGTCAAAGAACTTCAGAAAATCCAACTTCTGTATATATCCACAATTACATATAAAAATACTACCCATAGACCAAGGCTTGTAGGGAACAGAAATGTGGAGATACATAGTGCTCAATATATTTTCAAATTTAATGTATATGTATATTGACAAAGATTGAAGATATTCAAGATCCCAGTCTTGTGTATAGTACAAAAATAGTATTTTTTATCCGTGATTTTTTTTTCAAACCTCAATAACTCAGTCAATTTACATGATAAAGTTTAATAAACTATATATTCTTGATCTGTGAATACAGGAGCAGGTGTGTACAGATTTATGACGTCATATGATGACAACGGAATTTTGGTGGTCGGACAGGCAAATGGCCCCATGTGATTATGTTGAAGTCATTTTGAAATATTTCTGAATCTTTCATGAATCTTTCATGGAGTCAGTGGTAGGCTCTGGCCTACCAGAGCCTAGTAGATGGGGGCTGTGAATATAAGTTACAAATGAAATTAAGATAGAAAATCAAGTGTTGAAATAAGTGATTGAAGTTTCAATAGATCAATTAGAGTGAAGCTAAAGATTTTCAACCAAGCCCGATTAAAAATTCAATTAGTACGATTATCAAATTATTTTGTAAGTCTCAATTGAATATACTGACTTATGAATTCTGTTCATGTTCGTGATTCCAAGATGCTACGTTGATCAAACCACAGGCCAGCCAAGAAAGTGCATACATAGTGTTAGGTTGGTTTGTTGGTCTCAATTAGTGCCAATTGGCAGAGAATCATAAACTAAGGGTCAATAGATTTTTACACTCGACGATTTACACTCAATCTGGAGTGTAAATTGCTTCGAGTGTAAAAATGAACGTGACCCGTGGCAAATTTGAATTTTGCACTGGATCCGGCCCCATTTTTGATGTGTAAA